CTATAGCAACGAACGTCAATAATACTCTGACCGCAGATCAATTACTCACTATCTACACACACATTACCTTTCCTTTATATATACCAGCCCACCCTACATCGAGCAATTACTAGAGCATTCCCGAAAGAACAAGATAGTTCTAGAAACTAGAGGGCGCCACAGTGGTCACGTGACTCGCTGACGCAACAATAGAAAGATGAATACAGTGTCAAAATCTTAGAAACATTTTATATTGCTAAAACATTTATTTGAATACTAGCGAAAGTACTCGGCTTCGCTCGTGCTATTAAGTTGATATATTCTAGATGACTATGTCAGTGTGTGTATTCTGAACCTATTTTAGCATCCAGCAGGTTAGCATAGTCTTTAACTCGGCGTTTCTTTTGGTTTATGCGAATGAATCGCAGCCTTTCTGTTTCAATTTTGGCATACATTACGATTTTAGTGACGGGGTGAAAGAGGGCCGTTAAAACCTTGTAAGTGTAGTGAATGTTTGTATGATTTAAAGAAATTAATAAATAAGCCTAAAGTAAGGACATAGTGTGAGATAAACTAGTCTAGAGCCAAGTGCATAACATTTATCATGAAAGCAAAAAAATCGAACCAATTTTAAACTTAAATCGTTTCTGAATTAAGATATTTTCTGTTATATCACCATCGTGTTTAATACAAAAACAAACCTCTTTAATCAATGTATACTCTAAATTAAGAAATTAACAAACATCTTTCCAGTTCTGTTGTTTATATATATACATTTCATTTTATACTTTCAGTACATAGAATAACAACTATATTACGTTATACTTTTGTTGCAAGCAACATGAAATAAAAGACATTGTTGGAACGTATTGTTACCAAAACGCACTGGCTTTTCTATATATTAGAAGTTGTTATATAAGGAATCACTTATTTTCTTTGCGTTTTCTTGCTAGCTTGTCTCATTAAAACGATGCACACGCGCACGTGGATGGGGTGAGTAATAGTACTCAGATACACACCCTTAAGGTAGACTTAGTATGGGTGCAAAATTTCAAGTTTCTAGGTTCTTCCCCATTGGAGCTATGGCGGTCACACTTCTTTTTTTAGTGTTTTTTGCTACCTTGTGCCTCATTAAAAAAATGCGCATTCGCGCGCGCTCGTGGATAAGATAAGTAATAATACCCAGGTGAACACCTCAAGGGTCCAATTAGTATGGGTTCAAAATTCCAGGGTTCTAGCTTCTCTTGGAGGTATGGCGGTCACATTCACACAGACACGCCCTTTTATTATTATAGATGAATATCGATAATCGTTGAAGTCCCCGAGTTAAAGAGTTCTACACAGATTCAGTTTATAGTGTAATAAGAAATTAAACTATATACAGACATGATAACGAACGAAGAAAAAATCTGTTGATATTGGCAATGATTGAAGAACTAATTATTTTATGAACGATTTACAGAATGTCATGAGTGCCCTGGTGGTACGTGAAGGCTCACTTATACTAACTAACACGCGCACGTACGAACGTCGTTATCAGTAGAAAATTACATAGCTAGTCTGATCGCTTGTAGATTGATAATTATATGCAGATACTATAATTTGATTGGCATTTATCATATTAAGCGTACAACAAGTCTTGTTATAAAGTTTCTAGAGTATATTACATATTTTTATTAAAGTGTTTGAGCACACACCATATTCTAAAATACCCACCCTAATAAGCTACCTTCAGTAGTGTTGGAGTTAAACGTTTGGTCACTTTGTGGGTAATTACTTTGATCAAATAGCAATATTAGGACGTAGTAGCCTGGTATTAAGTTACCTAAGTATAGAATACATATACTTGTAAAATACTTACTTTATATCAGGTAAACAGACGTAATTTTATTTGATGATCAGGTATCCGTACAATTTGTTGGGTTTGCTGATAAAGTCAGAGTTCACAGAATAGCCTAGCCTGATGATTTCACGAATCTGTATACCGCATGTATGTTGTGTCCATATTATTGTACATATTTCGACCTTAACATCAGGTTCCTCTGACCTGGTGTTTAACCCTCTTGGCACATTACGTGTCATTACTTTGAAAATACCAGATATCCGAGTGTGTCAGCTAATATCGTGTAACAATACATATACTTTTAATATAAATATACTTTTATTATTTTACATTTAATTTTAAATTGATTTTTTTCTTTGGGAGGCTGTTAAGTGTTATTTAAATATAGCTAAATCGACTTCTTTAACTTCTTGTCATATTTATATTTTGATTAATAAAATTTTTCGTTGAATTGGTCCATTTCCGTGTTGGGAAGTTTTGAGAGGGTGGGACGAGAATTGCCGCTTCGTCAGCAATTTATTTGTAGCGTAATAGTAATATAGCATCTATATGTGCGCGTATTTACACTCTGAATAATGGGAATAGAATGGTAATATTACGAGCCATGGATTTAACGGTAATGTAGAAATAACGTGTAATATGTGTGGATAAAACTATATGTTTTAAAAAGTCTTAAAATTATGTTGTGCGTCAAGTATTCAACGTGCTGTTCACACACACAAAAAGAGATTTTTAGTTGATGAATTCATATAGTGACGAGCCGATAGTCGGGAATGTGAGTCTGTGTAGTGTAGACCCATCGATTTTACGTAGCTGCTTGTATTTTGGGCGGCTGCAGACATCAACTTAGCTTGCCGACAGTGCTAGGCCTGCTTCTCCGGTAGGTGAGCTGTGGCTGTTTTAATAAATAACCGCGAATATCACCCGCCCTTTAGAGTTCGACAATAATTGCTGTTGTTGGATCGGTAGAATCTCATCCATTAATCATTTTTATTTATTTTATAATTATATGACGTTCAAATCTGCTGTGGTTGATTGACTGCAACGTTGCTAGACGATGAAATCAAAGGTTGGTGGTGTCCAGTTTTTAATACAAGCACTCTAGAGTAGAGAATCAGGCCTATTCTTTAAAACTTAAAAAAATTGGAAGTGGTGATGTAATAAAGACCAGTGTCATAAGCTTTAGCGGAACATTACTTATGTGAATTAGAAAGTATGAAACTTAATATTTGATGTAAAAACGATATACGTATATCTGATTACTTAGTTGTAGGGGGTGGTATGGTTTGTAACAAAGTTTTTCATATAAAGTTAAAGGTACATCGTTAATCATTCTCACAATGTGTGATATAGCATTAATGTGACATTGTAACATGTTTTTCAGTGTGATATTTTGCCCAGGAAAGCTGTTGCTTGATGTGATAGATTATAGATTAATCTCAGTTTTGTATTTGTATATTTAACGCTACTACATCAAAGTGTAGTTAGCACAGTTAAACTTAAAGCTGTACAATATTTGACCAGCCAAAATCTGTTACCATAGTTACCATAGCTCAGAGTGTTATAAATGATGTAACAGTGTTAACTTATAGCGGGTGTTGTGGTCGATAATACTTAATATGTGTTACACTTTTACTAGTTCTAGAGGTATCGAAATTTCCAATTTGGATTGATATAAGTTTCTACTTGATTAATAGTGGTGAATAAGCCCGGACACAGAGCTTTTCTGTGACGTTAGGAGTTACAGATTGATGAAGTGGTTGCTACGTGATGTATGTGCTTTGTGGGATGAGTTTGATTTCATTTAAAATTTGTTGGATGGGTAGATGTGTGTGAATGGTTATCTTACACAGATAGGTTAAGATGTCTGATTTTCTCTTGAGAAAAGATTGGAAGAGGTAACTGTTGGATGGATTGGATAAAGGCCTCGAATTTGATTAGAATATTTAGAAAAGACCGAACAGACTCCAGTTAATTGTTATGGCAGTTTTATTTTTCAAACAAGATGATTGAATTATGGAATGAACCCATCATGCTATGAGAGTTTTAGAGGAGAATTAGTGATTTACTGAAAAATAGAGTGGGTTTAAATTGTTACTTTTTCTCAAAGTAAGGTCTCAAATGACCAACTAGTCTTTTCTTGTCCATATGTGATATAACATGCCACTTTGTCTTTCCATATATTTTATGATAATCTTGTAAAACTTTTGAATGTGGAGATTTCATAGAGGCTTGTTACATAGTTCTGTCAAGGTCATTACTTAGATTTATTTTTTGCTATTGGTAGCACATTAAGCCTAATTTGTTCGTTAGTATATTAAAATGAACTGTATTTATTTCTCTTGTTTGGTGCATAAGGCCTAATTAGTTATTCAGTTTAAACATTTCAAGTACATAGTAAACTAAGAATTTAGATCCCTTTTTTTTTGACACCACATTAACCCTAATTTGTCCTCTATGAACTTTAAAACAATTTCTAACAAAAAATTAAAAAACCAAGACTGTATTTTTCTTGACCAGTTTCTAAGTATGATATTTTAAGATTATTTAGCACTGCCTTTTAAGTAAATTGTAGACAATTTATAGAATACAAGAGATCATTTGATTGCCAGCCATACTTAAAATTCCTCATGTTTTATTTAAGTATTAACTGTCTGTGATTAAGACCACTGTGTGTATGTGTGGTACAGGTTCAGTTGGTCAACTGTAACTGAACGGAAGATGTGTGCCCATCTAGTTAAAAAGTATGCTCCATTAAACATTTTTAGCTTTGTTCTTTATATTATTTGTATATTTATTGTATATATTTCAGCAAAAATCATAAATGTGTTATCTTATTTTATTTTTTGATGGTGCAACTAGTGTTCTATTTATTGGAAAACAAATCATTTTTGGACTTTAGTTTTTCTCCACCTGTCCCATCAATGTGAAGATGGTTGTGATCTACAACAGTAATGTAATTTTTTGAAGTTGATACTTATCTTCAGTAATACTGTTTTTATAGTTAACTTTAACTTCTGATCAGCTACTTAGAGCAAAACTAAAAATGAACTTGTCAATCAGTGTAGTTAATTAAATATACTTTTCTTGTGTTTGTACTTAAAAATATTAAAATGCATTGTTTTTTCAATAGTTGGTTACCTTCACCGTTAAAGATATTTTCAGCTGTAGGATAGAGCAGGGTGTGAAAACCACATTTTTGTAAACTGATGTAATTCTGTTTATACAGGATAGAGCAGAACGTGCAAAGCACAGTGCTGTTCGTTGACACTTTCCCAACACCTTAGTCAACTGATGCTGTAACAACATGGCTTCAAGTTTACGCCATATTGCTACAGAACCTGATGACCTCAGTGAGAAGGCCAATCAAAACATCTTTGGGGACCAGAGGCAGATATGGGAGAAGAGCCAAATCTACACTTCTGATTCTGTAAGCTTATTTTTATGTTATATTTTACTTGTGGTATAATTTGTGATAAGATAACGTTTTTAAATGTGTTTGATTTATTTTAGAAAAACAAAATTATGTAACTTGATTTTTGAAAAGGACTTGTTTGGAAATATCAAATGCAGAATGAATCTTTATGATACGTACTGATCCAATTGATTCAAATGTGATGGATGAAAGAGTGAGTTTATTAGTGATATGGTCTGAGTAAGCAGAAATCTTGTTAACAAATAACACTTGTGTTTTCAGGATTTGAGTGTTGGTACAGGCAGCCTTTCGCATGTCTCTCGGCAGTCAAGTTCTGTAGTTAAGTCTCGTTCTGCCCTTACGTTGGCCATTCCCAATTCAAATGGACCAGGCAACATATGTGTGGCTCCTACTGAGTCTGATTCTACCGAGAAAACTATTTCACGAAAAAGTCGTAAATCCAGAGGAAGTGAATGGGAAATTTTACAAGGACTCAGAAGTGGACAGAAGTGGGAGGCTAAACCAGAAAAATTGGAAGGCTATCTCTTGAAAAGAAGGAAATGGCCCTTAAAAGGATGGCATAAAGTAAGTGAAAACCTTATAGATGTGTTTTAGTACAATTGCCTAACATGTTGTTATTAATTAAAAAATAGAGTTTCAGCAGTCATTGAAAATCAACACATGAATTAGTAATTAATCAGAATTTAACATTGAAAACTAATCTCCACATCTGCTGTTTTGGTTATATAATTATGTCTCCACTGAGAGACATACTGTTTTTCTAATGTTTATTCTTCCAAACATTTTTCAGTTGACTGCCATTTCCTCATTTCTCTGCAGATTGACTTAAAACTTGGTAGTGTTGTAATAAAACTTGATAATATTGGTCCAGTATTACCAGATAACTTTTCTTTTTTTTTTATTTAGGCCTTTTAAAAGAGTTCATGGGGTGAAAGGTCAAACAATTCCCAAAATGTATATTTTGGGCTCCTGAGCAGTCATATTTACAGCAATTAAGATGAAAATTGGCACAAATATAAATGTTCATGATCCCAACACACTGACATACAAAAAAGTTGCATTTGCCCATTTTGTGTCTTTTTAGAGAGGTCAGAGCTCACAAAATGCATAATTTTGGGTTTTTAGTCAGTTACACAGCCATATTTTGACCAGTTTACATGGTATTGGTAAAAAGTTGTTTTTCTTCAGGTCCCACGCATTGACAAAAAAATGGTGGACTTGAATTATAGGGGGTCGAGATGCCACAAAAAGTATAATTTTTTTTTTTTAGATGACTGCCATATTTTGGCCAATTTACATGTGGTTGGGTACAAATATACTTTTTTTATAGGTCCCATATATACACATACAAAAAAGGTAGGATACGCCCATTTTAGGTGAGTCAATAGGTTAAATAAACCCATAATTTTAGTGGTTTTGGTCAATTACTTAACTTTGTTTCAACCAATTTACATAGAATTTGGTACAAAGATACTCTTTGCAGGTCCTAAACAGAGATATAGACAATTTTGGAAATTTTGTCTTTTGCTCAATTTTTCAGTGAGAAAAGTACAATTTGGGGTTTTTGTCAAATATTCATGTATATGTCAATCAACTTGCATGGGATTTGGTACAAAGATACCTTCTTGCAAGTTCCAAGCAGTGATATAGACAGTTTTTGATTTTTTTTGTGTTTTCCACAATTTTTCTGATGTCAAAATTGGCCATGTTGAGATTACAAAGTGGAGACAACTTGCATTTTCCTGCGAATGTTGGCCTCTTTAATTTAGTTTTTATTAACAGGGACAAAATAGTATCTAGAGGGAATCTTGTTTTATTTAAGCATAAAAACTTGAGTGTTAAGTAGGTGTTTCAACCCATTTCTATTTATCTTTCTTTAAGTTGATAAACCTTCTACATAACTCTCTATGTACACTTACATTGGTGCTTAAAGGAAGATAACTAGAAATGGGCACCAATGTAAGTATACATAGAGAGTTATGTAGAAGGTTTATCAACTCATTTCTGTTTATCTTACTGTAAGCACCAATGTAAGTGTACATAGAGAGTTATGTAGAAGGTTTATCAACTCATTTCTGTTTATCTTACTGTAAGCACCAATTTAAGTGTACATAGAGAGTTATGTAGAAGGTTTATCAACTCATTTCTATTTATCTTACTTTAAGCACCAATGTAAGTGTACATAGAGAGTTATGTAGAAGGTTTATCAACTCATTTCTATTTATCTTACTTTAAGCACCAATGTAAGTGTACACAGAGAGTTATGTAGAAGGTTTATCAACTCATTTCTATTTATCTTACTTTAAGCACCAATGTAAGTGTACATAGAGAATTATGTAGAAGGTTTATCAACTCATTTCTATTTATCTTCCTTTAAGCACCAATGTAAGTGTACAGAGAGTTATGTAGAAAGTTGTAGGTGTTTCAACCCATTTCTATTTATCTTCCTTTTAAACATGTGTGAATAGCAAGTTAAGTAGAAGGTGTTTTAATTTGTTTTTGTTTTGTCTTCCTTTAAGCACAAGTGCATGTAGTGAGTTAAGTAGAATTTATTTCAACCCGTTTTTGGTCATCCTTTTATCAGGGATGAAATTAGTTTAATAATATATGTCACTAACCTAACTTAGGCCCAAAACACAAATTGGTTTCAGTTATGGAATCCCAGCTGAAACTATGAAAGTAAAACTTAACATAATCAGCTGTGCTACTAGAATCATGAAATTCTAAATATTTTTTTTCCTTAAGACTTCACTCTGAGCAAATCTCATTCATGTAGTATACTGACTAAATTTTAGGAAGAACTTATGAAATGTATTTACTCATACAAATTGTGATAATTCATCAAAATTGGAGTTCTTGTAGCTAATCCATCTCTTGTGTTCAGGACCTTCTTGTATATTAAGTACTTTTTTGTTTGTGTTAATTACTACTTTTATCCCAGTAGTTTAGGATTTGCTGGTATTTTTTGTAAGCCAAGAATTTTTACACCCAGATGGCTAGCATGTTAAAAATATTTGTAATTATTCATTAATTGATCATAAAAAAAAATTGATTGACAATTCCAGATCTTGTGGTATTTCTTCTGTTTTGCAACATATTTCCTCACCCCAGATATGAACCAGAGACATGCTAAGCAAGTGCTCTACAAACTGAACAAAAAGGCTAGCCCCCTAGTGCTTGTTAATAAGGCACTTTATAACAACTTGCTGATGATGTCATTGGCAAAGGACTTCTAAAACTTTGTCACCTATTCTAATATTTGACTCTCCACCCCTCATCTTGTCAGTGTTTAACTTTTCCTTTCTTCTTTTGTCAGATACGTGTTTATACAAGTCTGTGTCTGTTTTAGCCAGTATAACTTGAGGTAATTTAGTTCTAAGATGCCTATTAAACAATAATTTGGCTGGTGACTTTGCAGTCGTTTTATGTGGTGTGCTACAGTAAGCTAACAAAAATGTATTTAATGAATGTCTACAATTATCACCACATGCATGTGCTGTTCGTATGGCTTTCAAAATTGTTTGATTTTGTCTTTCCACTCCCCCGTTAGCTGATGGGTACAGTGCAGTCACTCGTTGGTGCTTGATTCCATGATCTGTCATGTACGTTCTAAAAGCATCTAACCTAAACTGTCTTCTGTTGTCTGTCTGTACTATGTCTGGTAGACCAGGAAGTGCAAATGTACTATCTAAATTATGAAGAACTTTCTCTGTAGTGATAGATTTCATGAGAGCTAGCTCTAAATAGCAGCTATGCTAATCTACAACTATGAGAATACTATCTCCAGTTGAAAACTGTCCTAATAAATCTGCTCCTATATGTTGCCAAGGGTGCTCTGGCAAAGGATTAAACTGTAACGGCTCTGATTCTGACAACCTGGCATTGATGGCAAATTTTACATATGTTTTCAACTTGTTTATTCACACTAGGCCACCATACTTTTTCTTGTAATCTAGCTTTAGTCTTAACAATGCTCTGATGGCTTTCGTGTGCTAAAGTGACAACTTTCTGTTGTAACTTTTGAAGTATAACTAATTTAGTACTGTATAACATTAACTTCCTGAAGCATGTTAGTTCAGGAAATACCATATTGTATGACAGTTTACACTATCTCTAGCATGATTGAATGTACCTGCTTAGATACATATTCGCAAATTAGTTAAATCTGGATTATCAGCAGATATTTGTTCTACTCGATGATTTATGAGTGCTTTAGTTATGCAGATTTTCCAACAAAATAAATACACTCTTCCGTGACATTCCATGAGTTATCTATCATGGCATTTTGTGACAGCAGAGACAATGAACCTGTGACATTCTGTTGACTTGTTTACACCATACAGTGAAAGAATAAGGTTGCAAACACAAAACCCACAATTCTATATGTGCCGAGGGCTTTGATTTTCATGAGTAGATAAACTCAAGCAGTTTATGAATCGTGATAAACTGAATGAAATCTTGTACAAATACAAATGAAAATGTTCACATGTCCAAACAAGCAATGATGCCTCTTTTTTTCAGTTTGAGAATAGCACTTCTCAACATCTGATAAGCTACAACTAGCATATGATACGACTTTAAATTGACCATGTTGTTCCTGAGTTAAAATGGCCCTTAGACCCACTGGGTTGGCATCACAGATTTCATGTGGTTCAGCGTTTGGATCAAAATAGGCCAAAAATTTTGTAGATGCCATTTTTGATACTAGCACATCAAACGACTGAACAAATCTAACATTTTTGAGTGTTATCCTACGTATTGGTTCCACAAGTGTAGCTAAACCCGAAATATAACAAGCACTGAAATTAACTGAGCCTAGAAAACTACGGACTTCTGCAGGCATTTGTGGAATTTTTGTACTTTTAACAGCTTGAACACGAGTGGCAGTTGTACCAATACCTTTGTCAGATAAATAGTGTCTCATGAACACAAGCTGTGAAAGTCCGAACTATGGCTTATCTTTGTTTAGGGTCAAACCTTTCTTTTTAAGATGGCATAAAACCTTTTCAAGCCTCTAATCATGCTCACTGCGAGTACGCCCATATACGATAATATCGTCTGAGATATTCTCAGCACCTTCACATACCTACAAATTTTGCCTAATGATGTGCTGATAGGTTTGGGAGCTGAACAAATACCGAACATAAGTCATTTATAATGATAAACACCTTGGGGATCCACAAATGTTGTGATCAATCTGGATTTCTCACTATACTCAATCTGATGATAGCCCCACTGGACATCTAGTTTACTGTATACAGTCATGCCATTCATGTTGTGCAACCTCTCATCTACTGTCGAGATTGGATGTCTCTCATGCTGCACTGCATCATTAGCTCTCCGCATATCTGTACAGAGGCTTATCTCATCCAATGATTTGGGCACGACAATCACTGGACTAATCTACAGAGTAGGGCCTAATACTTCCATGATTATATTCTTCTCTTCTAGCTCATTTAATTTTTTTTCTACTTTCTGATGCAAACTAAATAGAATTCTATGGACTGGTTGTGCTACAGGCTTCATTGTCTCATCAGTGTGTAGTTCTCATTGATAATATCTTAATTTATCAATGTCACTGAAACATTTGGGTTATTTACTCAGAATGGTGTCAATATTGGACTATAAGCCAATGGACAGACAGTGTTGATAACCCATGCTCAACACACCTAATTGTAGTGCAGTGTTACGGGCTAACAAAGATTGACCAGCACCTTTAGCTATGAAAACTCAGCTCTAATCTCTTTGCTATCTGTAGGTTAACAGAAATGACCACGGTGGATTTTTTCAATCGGAGTTTTACTTCCATAAGAATAAAGGTTTCTGTAAGTGATACCGGGTGTGCATGAAATACCATGCTGTCTGAGATAACTCCAGACACTTTCATTTAGAATGTTACAACTTGCGCCCGAGTCTATAAGCACTGCTAATGGAACTCCACCAACTACCAATTCTATGGTTGAGGTATTGTCATTACTGTTTGACAAAACAAAAACACACACCATCACACAGTCATATAATTCACCTTTTTCTTATGAGCAGAACAGTTATCCTGTTTTGACAAATTCTTAGTCCTGCACCTGGCCACGAGATGCCCTTAAAAATGACATTTATTGCAAATCTTGTCTAACTACAGAGATAACAACAAACTGGTGGTCTTCCTTTGGTACCAAATTCTGTTTTATGTATTGGAGTAGAACGCAGCCTTGATGTACTGTGCTTATCACTCAAGCTCACTGCTTGTACAGTCTTTGCTTTGTTATGTTCTATCCAAGCTGCCTGCTGGTCTGCTATTTCTGCTGCTCGACCAATTTATAATACGTTTTTTTGAAGTTGGACCTACTTGTCTCAACAATCTTCTATGTAAGTGGTGAGATTTAAACTTATCTATAACTTGATCCTTCATCATTTAAATCTCCATATTCATATGATAAAGCTAACCCTCTAGGACAAATAACATAACTATCAATATTTTTGCCATCTTGTTGAATAGCTTGTTGGAACACGTGTCTTCAAATATGGTACATTACCTCTGCTTACATAAATAGCTATTTTCATTCAGTGCTGCCCTCTATATTAAAACATAGAAGCCCAGAACCTCCCATCCCACCCATCTTTGAATTGATTGATTCAATGCAAATCATCATGTGAAAACCCTCCACCAATAAGAGTGTGATACATTCTCTTGAAGCATGTGACTCCCTTTAATCAATTTTACCAAACTGTCACTTCTTGTTTGGCAGTACTCATGTTGTAATGTTTAGTTTGTGCTCTCTTCAAGTGTTTATTTTTATTTTTTTCATATCTTTGTATTAATTTCTCTCAAAAGGTTTACTCTTTATTATACAGTAATGATATTTATAACTTGTTGAGTTATTACAAAGTGGAATTATTTTATATTTCTAATTGCTTACAGAACTTGTTACTTCATTACAAATAGTTTCTTTCTGCCAACACAGTTGTGATTGGTTATTCATTTTGCATTATGAATTCTATGTTACCACTTTGAAGGTTGTGTTCTATCAGCACATTTACACAGGTCTCAGGTCGTGACACTCCGCAGGAAGATTTTTGGCTTTACTTCATCAGGAGATTGATTGTCCAATGAGCTGACGTTTGTCGAGCCTCACCTCGAGATTAGGGGCTCACACATTTTGACATACAGTCTGCTGACTTTGGAAAGATAAGACGTTGTACTATTATGGTTTTTGAATGATTTTATTTTTAATAATATTATCTAGTTATTTGGGTACCACAACAAAAGTTTTGTTAGAAAGGTCAATTAGTCAAGTTGAGGTTAACAATTAGTCTTAGTTGTATCTTTTCTTCGATACCGTTCGCTTAAGCTTACCGTGGTCTTTGTTATTTTAGTGTTATCTATAATTCTCTAACTGGTATATCAATCATTAGTTCAACTGTATTGTTTTTCTTGCATACATCACGTCTCATACATATGTTAGTGTTACTAACTGCACACTTACTTAATTTTATACAATCACATCTATTACATTTTTGTTATTATTTATCTTTTATCCTTCTTCCTATTCACTTGGTTTGTGTGGAACCCTTGAGCTGAGGTCTACACAAACTTCTCCCAATATTTTACATACTTATTGTTAGGTTAAGATTTTTATTTTAGCGCTTAGTGATATCCTTTGTTCTGTATTGTTCTATTAGTCTTAACAAGTGTTTGGTATACCTGTAGTTCTACTTCTGGGTTAATCGATAATTCGGTTAAATATTTTGTTTGGTTGGGTTTAACAAGTGTCCGTTTACCTGTGGTTCTATTTATAGGTTAATTGATCACCTTCTTCCTATAATGGCTGAACCCATTTTCAGGTGACCTAGATTTTGTCAGTTTTCCTCCACCTTATCATGGATTTCCCACCTTCCAGGCCTCTACTGCAGAATCTATTAAGCCTATCTCAGTTTTTTTTTAGACACGTTTCATAGTATATTCCTCTTCTCATGACATTGTTTCTTGATGATCTATTTGTCTCTCTTTTGAGAGTGGGTACTTGCACGCCTTGCCCTAAACAGACTTTAATTCTTTTTTTGCCTTAGCTTACCATCAGGCAGATTTTCTTCTTGATTCTATGTTATTCGTATCTCTGTTAATACTATCCATTTTATTCTCTACCTTGTTATTTAGCTTTGTTTTACCCTATCAACTTTCCTACAGTTAATGTTTACCTTCCTCTTCCTTTTTCTTAAGTGTTTCACTTATTTTTAGGGATTTTTGTGGGATACCTCCTTCTTCTTCCCTCCATATTGGGGTATTTGCCATCTTCAGTTCTTTCCCTCCAAATGTGATTTATTTGCTTTGGGAATATTCTAAGGTGGGATGCTGCTGTTTGTTTACCATTTGCTGCTTATAGGGACTTACGGTCAGTTACTGGTTCGTTTTTGTGGCTACTCATGTATATTTAGCATCTTGTGGGGGTATCAGCGATACTATATTAAATTTTTTTTTGTTACTCTTATGTTTCATTCTGAGATATTATCATCTTTATTCATTTTACATCTTCGGCTTCTTCTTGTCCTTTACCTGTCTTACCTGTGGGTTTTCTTCATTCATCTTGTATGCTTGATGCTGATTGGAGATCTGGATCGATCAGTCCCATCTCAATCATTTCTTGGGTCTTCCCCATTTTAATATGTAGTCTTTGATCATATTTGGGTAGGCTGTTTCTGCATGACTGCGAATGCCCACAGCACACGTTCTTATCTTTGTTGTTTTCACCACATGATTTGGTACCAGTTTTGTGCCTTGACCTTTGGACTTGTTTTGGTTCCATATGTCTTTTGTGATGTGTTCTGCATTTTACCTGACTTCCACATTTTGAGGGATTTTACCTACACCATTTCTTGGATGTCTAGCTTTGGTTAGCTTCTTCCAGATGGGGGTAGTCTTAACATACTCATCTATTTCTTCCACAGTCAGCTCGAATAGTTGGATTTTCCAGTTTGATAAGTTTTTCCTGTTACATACCTCCCATTCTAGTCTCCTTGGGGTGTGTATTTTTAAACACCCTCTCCACCGGGACCATCCATCCTCCTCCTCGAATGCATTCAAAAGAGTTTTCTGTTATCTAAGCCTTTACTTTAAGTTTTTCTTATAATTTTTATTCTTCCCTCTTCATCTATATGTGTTGACAGTTAAATATATCCCTCATGACATATGGTTTACTGCTCCCCCACCCCTGTCTTCTGGGTTGTTTCTCTTCCTTTGTGAACTTCACTTGTTAAAGTGCAAAAAAGAAAAGTTTAGGTAATGCATGAAATGATGGTGTAACAAAAATTTACAAATACTATTTTTTTTAAAGTTATTGTGTCTGAAATTCTTGGTATAAATGAGGTAGTTTCACTTGAATTTTTTAAATGAATATGTTCATATAAATACATTTCTTTTTTCAGAGATACTTCTGTCTCGATAAGGGCATTTTGTCTCATTCAAAATCAACATCTGATGTAAGTTTAAAATGTCAAATTTATTCATAACTTTTACATGCTATAAATCAAAATTCATATACTTATATCCAGTGAAGTAATATTGTTTTGCTTTAATTAAATTATCAAAGCTTATTTAAACTTAACTTGTAAAAGGATTAAACAGTTTTTAATTAAGTATATCATTGATAGGAAAACTAGAACTGATTTTTTTGACATTTAGGGGATTACTTATATCTATTGAAGTTATAAATGGACTGAAAAAAAATTGTTGAATTATAAAAATGGTTTGCTTTTCTAACAATGGAACCTCTGTAATACTGTAAAATCAACAGAAGAATATTCACAGCATCAGAATATCCGTAAAACTCAAAATATAATCATGAATTGACATGCCAGATTAAAGAAAAACATAAAAATATACAGATACATCAAATCAAACATTGAAAAGTAGCAAAATAAAAGTTATAAAATGTTTTGACACCTTGTGTTGATATCTAAGTTTGAAAGTTTTGCTTCTGGGGAAGAAAACACTTTATTGACAGTTAATTTCTAAAGAAGAAAATCATTTGTTGACAGTTCATTTCTAAAAAAGAAATTCATTTGTTGGCAGTTAATGCCTTGAAAAGAAAAAAGTTGAGAGTTAATTTCTAAAAAAAGAAAACAATTAATTTCTAAAGAAGAAAACAGTTTGTTGACAGTTCATTTCTAAAAAAGAAATTCATTTGTTGACAGTTAATGCCTTGAAAAGAAAAAAGTTGAGAGTTAATTTCTAAAAAAAGAAAACAATTAATTTTAAAAAGAAGATAACAGTTTGTTGACAGTTAAATTTCTAAGGAAAACAGTTTATTGACAGTTAATGTCTGTAGAGAAGAAAATAGTTGACAGTTAATTTCTAAAGAAGAAAACTATTTTTTGACAGTTAATGTCTCAAAGGTAGAAACCATTTGTTGGTGGTAAAGTTGTAATAGTTTTCTATATATAAATGTGCTAATGAAAGAGTTAGCGATGAAATACTTTCCTTAAAAGGAGATTTAATTTAGATCGGAATGTTATAAATATTGGTGGAGAATACCTATCCTAATGAACTTAAACAGTGTACTGAAAGAAGTCAGTTTCTTTTTTAATAAGTAAAGTAAATTTAATATAATTTAACTTCTTGAAATTGATATGTTAGTGGACTCATCAATAGAAAATCTTGCCAAACTTGTCTTCGCTTTTTCATTTGTGGAGTTTGTTACTTTAACAGACTTTGTTGGAAAGAAATTTTGTTTATGTACCTTATCTAATTTTCTTCTTTAGCTCACACAGCTGATAATAAGAAAAAACTGGAAAGCAAAACATAATGGTGTTTTGAATCAGATATTATTATTTTTTGTTTTTGACCAAACATTTAGTATTACAAAATGTGTGTGTAAAGAATTGTCTGGTAAATGCAAGCCACTTAAGTGAAGTCTAATGAGGCATAATGTCAGGAGTGTTGTTGGTAATGATTAGGATAGATTAATTTAAAAAACAATATTATTTTTTATGGGTGCTGATATAAAAGCAGAAAAAGTTGCACATGCCATAATGTAAAGTTTAGTTTTTGTTTTGAATTTCTTGAAAAAAATTCTAAAGTTGTCAGTTGGTAATAAGTTATGAAAACAACTTCTTATGACTAATTGTTTTAGCTATGTTTAAGCAGAATAAGCCTGAATACTTTGTATTACATCAAAGGAGAAAATAATTTCAAGAGAGCTGAATGAGTCAATAACATGGTTTTTAAAACCAATATATTAGCTAGACTCTAATGTCGAAATGTGTTGCCAAGATAGACATTTGTTTTTTGGTTTAGATTATATTAAAATAAATTTGGGCTCATTTATCTGCCTTATTTGGTTACATGAAGATGTCACGTGGTAAACTCCATGGTTGTGTTGATATTGGGTTGTCTGTGGTCTCGACAAAGAGTCGTGGGAGGAGAATTGATATTGATGCTGAAGAATTTATTTACCACTTAAAAGTGAGTCAGTTAATTTATTTATCATTTGAAATTAATTTAAGCTACTTACAACTTAAAATAGATATTTATGAAAAATGTAAATGTGAGTAAAATTAGTTTTAGAATGATATTTTTTAGGTATAGTTAAATTTGCATTACAACAAGCAAGGTTAGTTTTGTTCTTAACATAAAGCTATATAAAAAAGAAAGAGGAATGAAGGGATGTTAATATTCTGATTGAAAGTGTGCCGATTGTCTATTTTTTGGCTAAATCTTTAACTGTTCTTACTGTGGAAGAAAAACTTCAAATAATATTATTCAGTGGATTTGTTTTGCAGCTGTAAGAAATGTGGTTTTATTACACACAATACATGTTTGAGCAGCTAATATTTTGTATGTGAAGAAACTGCCACCGCAGTTTCGTAATTGATTCACTATAGATGCTAATCAGTATGGGAAGGTTGTGTACTTCTTAGTCAAGTAGAATTATATAAGGCTAGCATGGTTAGCATGCTGGACTTTAAATCTGACTAGCTGCCTTCCCTTTAGTTTACCAGTTTAAAATTAGGGATGGCAAGTACACATCGTCTTTGTGTAGCTTTGCATAAATAGCTGAAATAAACAAAACAATTATATGATATTTTTTAAAGATTGAAATGTCTGTTGTGAAGTAATGATAACAATAAAAGAAGTACCCAGGAGGTACTAGAGTAGAATCCATACACTTGAATTATGAAAGGATATTATTTCTGTTTGTTTGTGAAACAGGTCAAAAAAAGGTCACAGTTTCAACAATGGATAGAACAGCTACGAGAGCACAGATTGTATCGTCAGTACGAGATTGCTTATGGTAGCAAAGAGGCTCCTAAAATCACTACGCCAGTGGAAGAAGTTCCAACATTCGATCCTGTTATTGGTAAGCTATGCAGGGTATTTTTTACAGTCATGTAACAGGTTAGTTGCTGTTGAGATCTGTTACATCAGTTTTAAACAACATCAACAGACCTGTTAAATCAGTTAATAAACAAGATCAACAGACCTGTTAAATCAGTTAATAAACATCAACAGGCTTGTTAAATTAGTTATTAAACATCAACAGGCTTGTTAAATCAGTTATTAAACATCAACAGACCTGTTAAATCAGTTATTAAACATCAACAGACCTGTTAAATCAGTTAATAAACATCAACAGGCTTGTTAAATCAGTTATTAAACATCAACAGACCTGTTAAATCAGTTATTAAACAACATCAACAGACCTGTTAAATCAGTTAATAAACATCAACAGGCTTGTTAAATCAGTTATTAAAAAACATCAACAGACCTATTTCATCAGTTATTAAACAACATCAACAGACCTATTTCATTAGTTATTAAACAACATCAACAGTCCAGTTACACAAACAACTCATTAAAGAACATCAACAGACTTGTTAAATCAGTTATTAAACAACATTAACTTGATGTTATTGAATAACTGAAATAACAGTTAATTCTGTTGTTGCAGTTTGCTGTACAGTTAAGCAGCAAAGTTTAAATGGACCTATTATATATCTGAGAATAGTAGAATGTTTTTCTAAAGGTACTCACACAAAATTAATATTTAAAGTTATCCCAACAAATGCTGTTTTGTGGTCTGGATTCTTGAGATTTGACATAAACTTAATGAGTTCATTGTGACTCAATGTATTTACTCTGTGTTAGATACAACCTTGTAAGACTTTAACTGTAGAAGTCCAGTTTTTGTTCATGTCAGATTCTTGTTTCCTATGAATAAAAAGTTTGGTATAAACTATTTCTACCAATTGATGCAAACAATATACAAGTCTCTTCAAGTAACTGCCAAATCAGTGGCAGTGTTATATGTACAGTAGATAAAACAGTGGAAGCACTTTTGATATTAAAACATTTATATATCATGCTCTTCTTTCCAGGACTGATAACAGGAGATACTCCAGCTCGGTCTTCGGTGGGGCGAGAAAACTCTAGACACATGCGAAGCCCTGTCAGTCAGCAGAATCGAGTTGCAGCTTGGATATTAGATTCAGCTGCTATTGAGCAAGGAAATAAAGGTGAAGAACTTGAAACATGCTCTCACTGTACTATATGGTGTTGTAGAAAAGAAATGCTTTTAGAATTGTTAAGATAAAGAGGGAAAGAATGTTCTACTGTTGTATACACTAATTCTGAAAAGGTACTACCTTCTCTCACACAAAGCTATCTTGACTTTGGTTTGCCCTCTAAGCAGTGCTAAAATTTTATCACTAACAGCACACCAGTCTTTTATACCCCTTTATTTTTGCATAATTTCAGAACATGTGCTGATCATGTGACTACCCTCCACCAATCATACTGCATCATCTATACCAGGCAAGTAGCTCCCTCTACTATTCTAGCACAATCCTCTCTTTGTCAGTTGGCATTTTATTGTATAGGTGTGTGTTTTAACTTGCTTCCCACGTGACTACAAATATTTGATTGCGCTTGATCACTAAGTTATATCAGTTTCAACTTCTTATGTTTGATTTCAATTGTTTCTATTCGTTTTTTTTAGAAATATTTCTGTTTTCTGAATTCTAATTTGTTCTTATGAATTTGAGATTTGATATGGTGGATGATGAATTTCCCGTGATAGTAGACAATAATTCTGACACGAGTCTCAGGCTCAAAAATATCTGCTGGTGAAGCACAGGCTGTAGTTTGCACGGAGTTCGTGCCTTACATTCGGCCAATGATTTCTTACTTTTACATGTTTTTGTGAGGAAGGATATAACTGATGGGTGGAAATTTCTTTCTAGGACACCTTCCACCTGATACTGCATCTCCATATAATCTCATGGGTTAGGTGTTGTTCTTTTTTCAGGAGATCTGTGGTAAGTTTTTCAGTGTGTATTCCTCACTCCCGGTTGGTATATCCATGTTTAGCTTGCTTGTGTGGATGGACCTAATTTCCACACACACATTAATTTAAGTCTTTCATGTCTTCTCTGCTCAGTATTTGATAAGTTAGATTTTTATAATTCTTTTACCATCTCAGTTACTTTAGTTTAACTTTGCATTTAGGGTTTGATTATTACTTTGTTTGGTTTCATTTTCAGTGTATGTATGTATGGGTTTTGCATGTTAGTTACTGTTTGGGTAATTGTAACTTTGGCCAATTTTGTGAGTGTGTTGGTTCATTATTTATACTTCCATTCACTGTTTAGTTAATTTGTAAGTTCCCTTTTTTTTTTTACTACTAGTTACATCTAATTAGGGATTAGATTTGAGTCAACATTTGTTATTGTTAACTGGATGCTTATTCATTCTCATGTTCTTCAGGGTAGGTTTTACTTTCATCTCCATAGTCTTATTGAATCTCTGAGTGGACTTATAACTTCTATATTTACGGGTCTTTTACCTTCTAAGTTCTATAAGTGGTGGTTTGGGATGTTTTTCTGCCCGGATGGACTGTACTTGACATAATATTATCCCAAGGTCCTTCCCCAAGATGTTTTTGTTTGGGTGGACAGCACTTGACCTAATCCTATTTATTCAAGTTGCTTCCCGCCTGGGTTTTTTTGATTGGGCAGACTACACTTGTTAATCTCTGTATCTCATTCAAGGCACTTCCACCGGATGTTTTCTGCCTGGATGGGCTGCACTTGGCATAATACGATGTATAACAAGGCATTTCCCCTGGATATTGTTTGCCTGGGTGGACCACACTTCGCCTATTCATGTACAATTTATGGTCCTTTAGCCCTAGCCACGTATACTTATATTGAATTATCAGGCACCTTACTATGATTAACTATCAGTATGTCTCATGCTAACACTTGTTACATATGTGGACGAATTATGCACTATCTGTCGACAACGGATGATTCTGAATTACCAGACAATTTCTCCTCAACCAACATATTCAAGGTGCTTCCCCAGGATTTTTTGTTTATGGGGAGGATCACTCTTGTTGCTCACAATATGCTAAACAAGGTGTTCCCACTGGATGTTTTTCCTGGTTGGATAACATTTGACATGTTCCAGTATGCCCCAAGACTCTACATTTGGCACATTTTTATTTGGACCCATTGTCAATTATATACTAAACATTCTGTTTTTGTCCTCGCTGTGCTGTTTCCTGTCATGGTTATACAACACTTCTCTGGTGCTGTACATCTCTTTCTTGAGGCTATGGTGCCTGCCTATTACATTCCACCCTATACGTATTACTATGTTTGTTACTGGGTGAAGAGCATACTTGTTCCACAGGTAGTGCTGTATCCCATAGGTGTGCCTTCTTTTTGTATTGTGGAACACCTGTTAATTCAAGGTGGTTACTCTCTGCTTGATTGAATACTGTTGTACCTTCAACAGCCCCTTCATCTTTACAGTGTGGGATTCTAGCTTTGGGTGAGTAGAGGTACTACTGTTTTGGAAGTTAACGTTTTCTTACATTGAAAATGTATTTCTGATAGGTACTTACCCTTCTCACCAACTTCCCACCCTTCTTCCCTACTGGTATGACCAGTGTTTCTAGTTTGTACCTGTCAATTCTATAATATGAGGATTGTGCTAGAATAATAGAGGAAGCTACCTGCACTAGTATAGATGGTGGAGGATAGTCACATGATCAACATGTTCTGAAATGGCATGAAAATGAAGGTTTGTAAAAGACTGGTGAGATGTTTGTGATAAAATTTTAGCAATGCTAAGAGGGCAAACCAAGGTCAAGATAGCTTTGGGTGAGGAAAGGTAGTACTTTTTCAGAATGTTTAGCAAATTCAATCCTTTATAAACTATACTAATGATACAAAAATCACTAGTATCCAATCTACGCCTAAAGACTTAGCCACATGGATGAACCAGCAATGCTTAGAGGGCAAACCAAGGTCGAGATAGTTTTGGGTTAGAAGAGGTGAGTGCCTATCGGAAATACATTTTCAGTGTAAGAAAATGTTAACGTTAAGAAAATTCAATACTTTTTTGTCTTGTCCCTTGTAAAAAACATATTTTAGAGAAATAAACTCACCCTAACTAGCTAATAATATTTTAATAAAGTTAGGGAATAATTTAACATTGGTGTTGTTTAAGTAAGATTAAAAATGTATAGGAGTTTCAAGGAAAGAAAATGTTTAACTGTTGTCGACGGTTTAAATTCTCAGACACTGAATGTGTGTGAAACTGGTTTAAATCAGTTAGTTGTTGAAAATGTTAGTACGAGACAACAAAAGTATGTAGTCACGCAATGTATGAGAGAGGAATAAATTCAAGCATTACTTATTTGTTGGTATTTTTTTTACGTAGTTTATATTTTGATGCCAGTTTTTATTTACATGTAGAAATAAAATATATCTAAAACTTAGTGTTATCTAAAAAGAATACTTGAAACAAGCCTAAGAAACTGTTATCATATCCTGTACAGTCATTTGTCTATAAACTAGGTAATTATTATTTTTATTTAGACCTGTCCTCTCTTAAGGACAAACTGTTCCAGTTGTCTGCCATGTTGCAGCAGTTAGAAGGACTGTCCAATACATACACTGTAAGTCATCTCGAGGTAAGATAATATAACTTGTAATGATTAGTACGACGTTCAACAGTCATCTAGTGGAATCATTAAAATGGATGTAATGTTTATGTTTTTAATTATTTTCTTTCCAAACATTGACCACGAGGTGATAGCTTGCACATGCCTCTAAGCAGTCTTCTGTGATAGTGGTTAACTTGTAATAAAATACTATGGAATTGACCACAAAATACTTGTATATAAGACTTCACCTTCGTGATAAGTGCTCAGTGACTGAAGGCACTTGATCAAAAGATGAGTGCCATTCTAATTTATTTTAAGTTATGTTATGCAATTTGTCTCTAAAAACTGAAACAAATGATGCTTATAAGCATAATAAAATATATGAACCAACTCGTTTTGATAACATCATTTGCCAGGATTGTTATTTTTTAATCTTAGAGATAAAATTGAGTTATTTACTGCTTGATGCTTAAAGCTTTTTCCAAAGAACGCCACCCCTCAGTGGCACAACTGTATTTCTGCAGACTTACAACACATACATGGTGTGCAGAGCACAGATAGCCCATTGTGTTGCTTTGTGGTTAACTTCAAAGAAACGAAAGAATGCCCAGGTTTTGGGCAAATATTTAGTCCTTAATTATCATGTGTATTGTGGTTATAGTGCTGTTTATTATTATTTTATTGTCTAATTTATTTGAATGGCTCGTATTAATGATGGAGATGTTAGTGCATTTCTTTTTAAAGTAAGTTTAGCTGTATATGATATTTTGAAGTAGCATTGAAATAACATAAGACTTTTACACATAGCTCCCAAATGTTGATACTACATCACTGAAGAAAGAACGGAAGCGATTTTACTTGAAAAAGAATAAGAAAAACAAGCAGGTGTCAGAAACTAGTGACAAGGGCAAGGAAGATCAAAAGATTGGCCACAGCAAACAGCAACCCGTAGAAATCGTAGTTTCCCAAGAGACACAAGATGGCACCACTCCCAAAGATGTTTGTGATGTAGGAGAGAAAAGAGACAGAGCAGTAAGCTTGGAAAGTTTAAATATTTATGGATTTCTAGTAGATAAGAATTTACACAAAGATAAAAGTTAAGAATTAAAAACATTTTCAAGAAATGTTTCAGGTAATAGTGTTTAACACTGAAAAGGAAGTAATTAGTAGTTATTATTTATTTTCAAAACAAGTTGTACTGTTATCAATGTTAAGCATGTCTTCTTCAGGTCTAGCAGGTAATGACTTGCTCAGGATTTCTCATGTTGAGGTTTTTATCTGTAAGCTTTACTGAATATGGTCTATCTTCTAACTTTGTGGCTTAGTTCGTTGATAGTACAACTTTTACACTGTGTTTTCGTGCAGTAATATTTTTTAATTTAGGAATTCACAAACTTTGTATGGTTCAAACTTACTTTCTTGCATTTGCTTCTCCATAGATGGAGGCTCAACAGCTACACTGTATTTTGAGGCTTATAATCATTTTATGTTTTTTCTTCCTCTATAATTATTGATTTTTTTTCAGCTGTGTCCCATCATTTCACTGTTTTCGTTTTTCACCGAATTTCGTGTTGAAGGTTCACTGTTTTTGTTTTTCACCGAATCTCGTGTTGAAGGTTCACTGTTTTTGTTTTTCACTAAATCTTGTGTTGAAGGTTCACTGTTTTAATTTTTCACTAAATCTCATGTTGAAGGTTCACTGTTTTTGGTTTTACTAAATCTCGTGTTGAAGATTCACTGTTTTCATTTTTCACTAAATCTTGTGTTGAAGGTTCTTTCAGTGTTACAGACATAAGTTTAATTTCAATTTAAGATTTGACTTTGTAATTTGCAACATGTTTTGTAACTTAATTAGCACTTTGTCTTGCAGTACCTCTAATCTGTCTAATACAGGATGCTTTTATCTTGATATATTCTTGCATTTTGTTGACTGTTGGTACTCTGTTTCTGACATACTGCATGTTTTCCCTTTGTTAAAGTGATTATTTCTGCCATTCTTGAATGTGTGTGTGTTGTTCCACAAAATTTGAGAAGAAAAACTTGGATAACTGATAATAAAGAATAAATTGACACACCTAAATGAAAACTTTTTCTATTTTTATTTTGTGCAGTGTTTCGGGCAGATGCCCTTCGTCTGTGTTACAGTGGAATTAAATTTAGAAGCCATTGGGAAGTTAATTTGTCCATGATCTCATATTCATGTTGATCAGAATGGCTGTTTCTGAACAGTACAAATTTTTTGTTAACTGCCAATTGTTGTTTTATTCATAACAAAATTTAAGAGAAATGTTAAACATGGCAAATGAATCTAAGTTTCAAATGGACAGCAACTGAAGACAAAAGGCGGAAGACTTTCGAAACGTCCTCCTCTACATTTATAGGTTTCTACAACAGGCAGTTGCTG